GTACCACTGTATAGTAGTGTAGTGTATAGTAGAGTAGTGTAGTGTATAGTAGTGTAGTGTATAGCAGTGTAGTGTATAGTAGTGTAGTGTATAGTAGTATAGTGTATAGTAGTATAGTGTATAGTAGTGTATAGTAGTGTATAGTGGTGTAGTGTATAGTGTAGTGTATAGTAGTGTATAGTGTAGTGTTGAGTAGTGTAGTGTATAGTGTAGTGTATAGTAGTGTAGTGAATAGTGTAGTGTATTGTGTAGTGTATAGTAGTGTATAGTGTATTGTGGTGTAGTGTATAGTAGTGTAGTGTATAGTAGTGTAGTGTATGGTGTAGTGTATAGTAGTGTAGTGTATAGTGTAGTGTATAGTCTGGTGTATAGTAGTGCAGTGCATAGTGTAGTATATAGTAGTGTAGTGTATAGTAGTGTATAGTAGTTTAGTGTAATGACTTCTTGACACACTTCTCTTGAGATGGCACTTTATTGAAGAGACGTTCACTTGACATCAGGCGGAGTTCCCACCGCAACAACCCAGAGTCTCCCCGTGCATCTCCCCCTTATATATCAACACGAAGTGGTGCCCCCTTTCTCGCTCATTCTCACTGACTCTGGACGCTCGCTCTACCGGAAGACTCCCCCGTCCTCTTCCGTCTCCTGACCACGCTCCCTGCTCGAACATTCCCGTAACCACCAGTCCCTTTGCACTCACAACTCAAAACCCTGTCATGACCTCCCGTGGCCATTAGTCCATTCGCACTGCAGGCTGACTCCCTTGTTATCACCTCCTGTGACCACTAGACCACTCACACTGCAGGCTGACTCCCCTGTCATTACCTCCCATAGCCACTGGTCCACTCACACTGCAGGCTGACTCCCTTGTCATTACTTCCCGTGGCGACCGGTCCACTCACACTGCAGGCTGACTCCCCTGTCATTACCTCCTGTGGCCACTAGTCCATTCACACTGCAGGCTGACTCCCCTGTCATTACCTCCCGTGGTTACCAGTCCACTCACACTGCATGCTGACTCCCCTGTCATTACCTCCCATAGCCACTAGTCCATTCACACTGCAGGCTGACTCCCCCTCTCATCACCTCCCGTGGCCACTAGTCCACTCACACTGCAGGCTGACTCCCCTGTCATTACCTCCCATAGCCACTAGTCCACTTACACTGCAGGCTGACTCCCCTGTCATTACCTCCCGTGGTTACCAGTCCACTCACACTGCATGCTGACTCCCCTGTCATTACCTCCCATAGCCACTAGTCCATTCACACTGCAGGCTGACTCTCCTCTCATCACCTCCCGTGGCCACGAGTCCACTCACACTGCAGGCTGACTCCCCTGTCATTACCTCCCGTGGCCACGAGTCCACTCACACTGCAGGCTGACTCCCCTGTCATTACCTCCCGTGGCCACGAGTCCACTCACACCGTCACTACACACGCATTGCTGCTTTTACTTCGAACACTTGCTCTGTCCTGCCACGTGCACAAATGCTCGTGCGTTAGCCTCTTCCATTCCGCACGGCTGCTGATGCCGATGCAGAGCGACAGCGATCACTGTGATGCCTCAATGAGTCGATGGGTCTCTGTGGGTCTCTGTGGGTTTCTATGAGTCTCTGTGCATCTCTGTGACTCACTGAATCGCTATGGGTCTGCCGATTCTCTATGAGTCTCTGTTAGTCTCTGTGGGTATGCATCTCTATGGGTCTCTGTGTATCTCAATGGGCGTATGTATGAGTCTCTCCTTCTTCCTCCTCCGTACGGCTGCTGATGTCGACTAGGGCTGAACAATTTGGGGAAAATATCTCATTGCAATTTTCCTGACAGACATTGCGACTAAAATGTTCAAAGTCAAGCTTCAGTTAAATATTCACTGTGTAATAGATTTGAAACACGTGATGGAGCATTACCACATGATACCATCAAAATATGAACTGGTCTATATTTTCTAATGCAAGGAGGTGTGGGAAGCTGTACATCCCAGGCTACTTTGGGATCGCCTTCCCATCAACCAGAGGCGAGGAGTGGTGGTCGTGGTTGTTTATGCCCCCACTGAAGACGAACATCCGGGGATGGATGCAGGCAAGGCCGATGAGTCAGCTGCCTTCTATGACCTTCTATCACAGGTTCTGGCTAAAGTGGCCCCTCGAGATAGAGTCATCCTGTTGGGTGACTTCGATGCCCGAGTTGGTCATGATGCTGGCACCTGGTCTGGAGTAATTGGAAGGCATGGGCCAGATCAGCTCAATAACAACGGCAGGAGACTGCTAGATTTTTGTGCAGCCCATGGGCTCGTAATTACCAACACGTTGTTCCGGCATCGGCGCATCCACACATGGATGCATGCCCCGGTCCAAGCAAGAACATCTGCTGGACTGCATAGTGATGGAACAGCGGATGCGAACCCATGTCCTTGACACCAAGACCTACCGTGGAGCTGATCTGCCCTCTGACCATCGACTAGTCATCTGTAAGATGCGCCTGCCACTGTTCCACTCCGGTGGTGGGTGTACACCCAGGACCCCATTCTAACCTAAGGTGGCCTGGTCTCAGCTAGCTGATGGAAGTTGCAAGTGATAATTTCATAATCGCTTGCAGCTGGGGTTGGCATCGTCCCCCACTCCTGATGTCGAGGGGAAATGAGCGAGGTTTAGGACTATGACTCATGCAGCTGCAATGGCTGCTTTGGGTACGCGGTCCAGGCCTCCCCAGAGACCCTGGCTGACAGAGGAGGTGTTCAGGATGGTTGAGAAAAAGCGACAGGCCCACTCTCATCGGCTACAGCATCCCACGTCAGAGAATGAGGAGGCTTACCGCAGCCTTCGCTCGGAGGTTCGGAGAGCCGTGAGGCGCTGCAAGGATGGGTGGTGGTCGCTGGATGCTGAGGAGATGGAGTCTGCTTCAATGGCCCGCAATCACAAATCCCAATGTAACTCCATCAAAAAAGCAACCTGGAGCGCCACACCTATTACCATCATTAGGGGAAAGAACGGTAATCCAATCTCCGACCCCCAGGAACAGGTTTGCAGATTTATGAGGTCCTGGGGAAGGGAGAATCCCTCAGCCTGGAAACCATCATGGGACAAAGTGGGGATGACCCTGTTGAGGCTGCGGTGCCTCAGATATTGGAGGAGGAAGTCACCCCCTGTGAGTGGCTGGCTGAGGCGCCATCCGTTGAAGAAGTACTGAAGGCGATCCAGAGTCTGAGACCAGGAAAGGCACCGGGCAGAGATGAAAGGCACCGGGCAGAGATGGGTGAGTGAGTGGGTGAGTAAATGGGTGAGTGAGTGAATGGGTGAGTGAATGGGTGAGTGGGTGAGTGAGTGGGTGAGTGAGTGGGTGAGTGAGTGGGTGAGTGAGTGGGTGAGTCAATGGGTGAGTGTGTAGGTGAGTATATTGGAGGAAGTCATCCCCTGTGAGTGGCTGGCTGAGGCGCCATCCGTTGAAGAATTACTGAAGGTGATCCAGAGTCTGAGACCAGGAAAGGCACCGGGCAGACTTCTGACTTTACTGAAAGAACGGGATTATATTATCCTCAGTAGCAAAAGTAGCTACGTAAAACATTTCGACTTCAAACCTTCGTGACTGCCGGAATTCACATCATCTTGTTGCTTTCGGCAAAGTCACGTAGATAGAAAATAAAAAATAAAATAAAATTTACAAAGAAATATAAAAAAATCCTTTCTCCACTTGATGAAGATCGCTTGTGTTGCGATTTTCAACTTGTTATTTTTTTATCTTATTGTTTTTTTATATTTTACTTTCATCTTTTGATTTTTTGTTTTCTATTTACGTGACTTTACCGAACGGACCAATACTTTGAATTCCTGCAGTCATGAAAGTTTTAAGTCTAAACTACACTAAACATTACACTATACACTCCACTATACTCAACACTACATCACTAGATACATGCCAATCCCTTGTCAGTGGCCCACCTTATCACAGACCAATTCAGACCCTATCGGTCACCCCGTGCACCCCTTATAAATATCAACGTTCATCCTACAAAAGTGCCATCACGTGGGGAGAAACACAAATGGACGAAAAGAGGATTTTGTTTACTCAATCACCCTGCACAAGAATATACGCGTGTAGTGCCGTAGATGGGCCACACTTACCGGCAGTGGCAGACAGGGCCCACTTGCAGGGGTGCCTCGTGCCGCCAGGGGAGGGGCTGCAGTGCCAGCCCAAGAGGGGAGGGGCTGCTGGGGACTCAGGATCCCCCGCAGCCCCACCCCTCGAAGGGGCAAGGGGTATAAAAGGGGACCTCCCCAGCCGATCGGGACCAGTCGCAGCCGAAGAACCAAGACCCAGCCAGCTTACGACCCTGGACCCCCTCGCCCCCCGCCCTTATAAGGGCGTGGGCGCTGTGCGGGCCGGTGGTGGGACTCTGGGATCCCCTTGCCCCGCTGCCCTTGTAAGGGCATGGGCGCTGTGCGGGCCGGTGGTGGGACTTTGGGACTCCCGGCCCCGCGCCCTTGTAAGGGCGTGGGCGCTGTGCGGGCCGGTGGTGGGACCCTGGGACTCCCTGCCCCGCTGCCCTTGTAAGGGCACGGGGCCGAGGAAGCCAGAGGTCTAGACCCGCAGCTTGGCTGGGTCTTGTCAGGGCAGCCTCCCCTAGGGTAGTTATAGCTGGAGGACCCGACAGCGTAGCCAGTGTCACGGCACGCTAGGGGTAGGCTGTGTGCCCGGGCCAGGGGCGGGCAAATTGTTTTGACTCGCGGGCCACAATGGATTCTAAAATTTGACAGAGGGGCCGGGCCAGGAACAGATGGATTGAGTGTGTGAACTAACAGAAATGATGCGTAAAAATCATTACATGAAAGGATTTGGCCTTCAACAAGTAGCAAAGCATTTATTTGCGGCGTTACCGCCGAAAGAACCGAAGATTAAATATATTTGACACTTTATTATTTACAACACGCCGCTCACAGCAGCGACACGCGTCGCCCCAAACGTACACCGAGCAAGTTCATCGTGCAATGCCCCCCCCCCCCCCCCCACGCTGTCCGAGCGACACCGCCACGAGAGGCGTCGTCGTCATCTGAGAGCCTCAGCATTCAGCCCGGCACGTTCCCAGGCGGTGAAACGAAGGCCCCTCCCAGCGCGCCGCATCGCCAGGATGGAGCGCAGCACACGGACGGCGGCATCCGTCAGGCCCATGGAAGGCTCCTCCCCCGCCGCCACCGCACGGCGCGTCGCCCCGATGGAGCGCAGCACGCGGTCGGCGGCGTCCGCCGGCCCCGCAGCGTCGCTGGGCCCGCGCACCTTCGGCCACTGGGGGATCGCGGCCCACCGCCGGTGGCCCCGTGGCGGTGAGCGCGCCGCGGCCCTGACGATGCCGACGAAGCCGGCGGCCGGCGTTGTCGCCGCCCGCTCCCTGGTCTGGCTCCGGACGTTCGCAACGCTCTTGCACATGCCGGGAGGCCTCCGCGTCTGTGAATGAAGATGACAATCCCCCGTCCCCCTCACGTTTAGCGAAACCATTGGGAATATCTGCGAATCTGCGGTGACTGTGATTGTCACTGCGTGGCGCCGGGCTTACGAAGCCACGGCGGATAACGTGTTGGCATCACGTGCAGCCCGCTTACTGATCGAAGTACCACCGGCCCTAGCGGGGCCTGGGTTGAGCACTGGTCAGCAGCGGGGGCACCGCGAGCGGCGTGCGGTGCGGACTCCCGGTAAGGGAGCCAGAGCGAGCGTCGGCCAGCCAGGGTTACGTTGGGGCACGATACGCCGGTTGACCTGCCGGCACGTGACCGGACGATATTGGAGGGGGGCCACCGGTGGACTGGGGGCCGCTGGGGGGTCACGTGGTCTAAAGGAGCTCTCGGGGAGCCTTTGGGAAAGAGCCGGAGAGATCTAGAAGGTGGGCGGGGCGAGGGGCGGAACCAGGCCCAGCCCGAGGCTGATATAACGGGGGCCCCCATGAAGGGGCTCGGGGGTTCTTCGTGTTGCTGGTGATGAAGATCCACGGTCGGGTAAACGAAGCCTCTAGCCACGCGGTTCCGGACCCAGCTCGTGGTGCGGGCCGGGGATAGGGAACCGTGTCTAGTTCTGTCGTGGCGTGGCCAGATGAGCATTCAATACCCAAGTGTAGTTTGTGTTGTGTTATGTTGATTTATTGAATAGTGTTGCTCCCAAGACAAGGTCTGCGATTCAGTTGGACTCACTACAAACCTATTGGGATGTCTTTGAAACGATTGGCCAGCAATACACCCGACAGTCTTCGCCACACCAGTAGCGACGTTTCCAAACCGGACCAGGAAGTTATTTGACGACCTGGTGTGCACTCTCGTGTGTATCTTCACCAATGAAAGTTCCACCGGGAGCTATCCCAAGGCCATATTCGTTAGCACGGCCTGTGGTAGAATCATCGCTGCGCACCGTGGCACTGCAGCCAGAATCAGAATCTTTATTTATACTGGAGGAATCCGATGAGCTATGAAGCTCATTTTCACAGATGTAAAATAATTATAACAGGTGTCCAATATCGATTTAAAGCTTTCGTGACTGCAAGGATTCGTCTTCTTTGGTTCTTTCGGTAAAGTCACGTAGAATGAGAATAAAATAATAAAATAACACAATAAAATTCTCACGACGTTTCAGCCACAACGCAAGCGGCCGTCTTCAGGTGAAAGGTACAGACCTGTCGGGACGACAGAGCTTCAATGAACGATGTTAAGATTCGTAGCGACTTTTAGGCTGGTTAGGAGAAGTGAGGCACCTTGAGAAAGGGTTTACATATCAAATAGCTGAGGGATAAGCTTGTGACTGGTCACAGGAATGGCTATGTTAAAGTCAAAACCTACACATCCACAGAGGCAACTAGTAATTTAGCATTGAGATAGCTAAGGGATTAGCTTGTGCAAATAGCTGAGGGATTAGCTTGTGACTGGTCACAGAAATGGCTATGTTAAAGTCAAAACCTACACATCCACAGAGGCAACTAGTAATTTAGCATTGAAATAGCTAAGGGATTAGCTTGTGACTGGTCACAGAAATAGATGTTAAAGTCAAAGCCTACACATCCACAGAGGCACCTCGTACATGGAGGCCAAAGGGGGCTGCAACAATTCAACTGTCATACAGTAAACCGATGTGAAAAACCTAATTCTAAATTACATCAATGTAATAAATGTACTCAATATATAGTTTCAGAGATGTCCAATAGTTTTACAGATGTCCAAAAGTTTCAGAGATGTCCAACAGTTTTACAGATATCCAATAGTTTCAGAGATGTCCAATAGTTTCAGAGATGTCCAATAGTTTCAGAGATGTCCAATAGTTTTACAGATGTCCAATAGTTTTAAAGATGTCCAATCATTTCAGAGATGTCCAATAGTTTTACAGATGCCCAATAGTTTTACAGATGCCCAATAGTTTTACAGATGCCCAATAGTTTTAAATATGTCCAATCATTTCAGAGATGCCCAATAGTTTTACAGATGCCCAATAGTTTTACAGATGCCCAATAGTTTTACAGATGTCCAATAGTTTCATTCATGTCCAGTCGCCTTCCCCTGGTGCAGCCCCCAACGTAAACACGAGCCGTGAGGTTGACACACAGCTCACCCGTACCGGGATCTTGGTGGAAGCCGAGCGGAACGATGATCGCCTGTCGGTAGTCTCGGCCGTGAGCCTCACTTCTCTCCCTGGAATCCCCACGGCCACCATCGCTTTGTCAGCAGGAGGTGGTCGCAGTCGCCGCACCGTCACCCCAATGGTGTTGCGGTTGGGCGGGCTGATGCCGTCCTTGCTGCTGTTGCTGCCACTGCTGCTGCTGATCCTCCTCGCATGCAGGGCGCTCTTGCTCACAGCGGGAGGGATTGGCATCTGTACGCGCAGGAAGGCAACAATCCCCCGCATAGCATTAGCGGACTGTTGGGGCAAGTGAAGTTAGCGAGGAGCACCGATGAACACCGGCAAAGCTCCGCACCGCACAAGTGGGTGGCGTTTGCAGCACCGACTCCTAGTGGAACTGATAACGCACTGCACCAGGTAGTCATTGCGACCGAGTCCCAGGAACACGCCGGATATCCGCCGCTGATATCGAACTCGGGTCGCCGATTTCACAGGGCAGCGGACGCACCGCCCATACCGTTACTACTACTCACCGGAATTTATTATTTACCAGGTAAAGCCCCGGAATGAGCTATCGGCTCGTGTTCAGAGGCGACCTGGGTGCACGTGACAGCTCACCGCAGTGGCTTTGCCATCACCACACATGGGAATCATTCATAGCCGCAGCCCAGTGATCTCAACGCGTGTCTCTAAAGGTGAAGGTAGGCAGAACCGGAGGAGGAGCCTGCAGGAGAAAGGTCCTCGAACAGATGACACTGAAGCAGATGAATGGGGAATAATATAATTTCAAAAGTAGTAACTTTGCATTATTTAAATATTTGCCATGTGCCAAACACCTCCAATCACAGGATCGGTTCCCACTCCACTCAGTCCCATCTTGCAGAGATCCCACAGAACCATCTGTTTCTGTTTCTCCAAACATCCCATGTGCGTACGCACCGTGCGCTACCGCAGCAACTCCTGGCGCAATCGAGCACCCTCGCGCGCGCACGATTACACTCGTAAAGATTCCCCCGGGCAGTTATGCCCACCCGGGATATGATGATCACTGTTACATTGCTTTAATAGATTTATTTCTGTGATTTCGAAAACGTTTTTGGCTTAGCCATATTTTTGTTGTTGTAGTAAATAAGTTAGACCGATAACTTTAATATGAATTGTCTTGTGGTTTGTTATTGTTTGACTCGCATCCCACTGGGATTGCTGCACACAGCGTTGACGCACGGTGCTCTTTCTTGAAGACTTTGCTGTTTTTTCCTGGATTTTTCTGTTTGCGCGTCATCACTTTACGATGCATTTCTTGTTCGTGTTTCTGTTTGTTGCGGTTGCAACATGATTCGAGAGCCGAACGGCTCAAAGGCGCACAACCAAATAAATGGAACTGAAAAATAGAAAGACGATCGTCAGCACAGCCTCTCCCTTGGTAGAGAATCGTCTGCAGCCATCACCCCTGGCGCGGCGACCCGAACCTGAGCGCGAGCCACGAGGCCCAAACACAACTCACCGGCGCTGCCGCCTTAACGGATGCCGAGATGTTGGTGGGCTTCGCCGTGAGCCCCGATCCTCTCTCCTCAGTCGCCACCGCCGTTTTCGCTCTTTTAGCAGGCCGCGGCCGTTGTTGCGGTCCCGGCGGCGGCGGCGGCGGTGGTGGTGGCGGTGGTGGCGGTGGTGGCGGTGGCGGTGGTGGTGGCGGTGGTGGTGGTGGCGGTGGTGGCCGCGCCGTGACCCTGAAGGTGCCGCCACGGTCGCCTGGCCAGGCGCTGCTGTTGCTGGTGGCCTTGGTTAGGACCCGCTCCCTGATCCTCCTCACGTGCATGACAATGCTCTTGCAGGTGACGGGGGAGATTTGCATCTGTGTGGACAAAGGCAAAGATGCCCCCCCCCCCATAGAGCATTAACAGGCTGTTGGAGCCAGCGCTGTTGGTGAGTGCATGACTGTCAACCCCTTATCAGTGTCCTACCATATTACAGACCAATTCAGACCTCATACACAGCACTATACTCTACACTATACTCTACACTTTACGATACTCTACACTATACACTACACTATTACATACCTGTCAACCCCTTATCAGTGTCCGACCATATTACAGACCAATTCAGACCTCATACACAGCACTATACTCTACACTACACTCTACACTATACACTACACTATACACTACACTATACACTACACTATTACACACCTGTAAACCCCTTATCAGTGTCCTACCTTAGTACAGTCCCATTCAGACCTTATACACAGCACTATACTCTACACTATACTCTACACAATACTCTACACTATACAATACTCTACACTATACACTACACTATACACTACACTCCTACATACCTGTCAACCCCTTATCAGTGCCCTACCTTAGTACAGTCCCATTCAGACCTTATTGGTCACACCGTGCTCCCCTTATAAATCTCAACGTTCATCCTACAAAGTCCCATCACAGGGGAGCAACACAAATGTACATTTAATTTTTGCCCGTATTGAAACGGCTGTAACGCCGAATGGACCTGCAAACTCAATTTCCCCGTACAAGAAAACGGGGTAAACCGTGCGGGTTGACCAGGTATGTGAGAAGCACCTATGAAGGCCGGCACGGCACCACGATGGGGGGTAGGTGGCCTACACAAAAGCTGCCCAGGCCACCTTTTTGTTTGCCAAGTGCCGATGATTTGAGGCCAAGTCGGCCTAGGATCAGTTCAGGCGTCCGCCGCTGATATTTGTCACCGAACAGGAACCAAAAGTCGAATCGCCGGGTTCGAAGCGCAGCCCGCTGACCGCTGCACCACCGCTCACGCTATCGCTGCTTTTTATTTAAAACGTTTCTTTCTTCATCGGGTAAAAGGCACCGAGCCATAAAACCTCTTGCTCGGAGGTGACCTGGCCGCACGTGATGGCTCATCTCATTTGTTTTATTGCCGCACGCGGGGAATCGTTTACGGTGTCACCCCAAGTCTGCGGTGGAATTCCCGCACGGCGCGGTCGCAACATTCACGCGCGGCTCAGCCACATCGGCCACACCGTGAGGCACCCCCCCCCCCCGCCCTGCCCCCCAAGTGAGGGAATGGAATGCATTGAACGAGGAACTCGCATGGTGGATGTTTGGCCCAATGGACGCTGGGAGTTTGTTTACCTTCGAGTCTCTGATCAAGCCGTAGGTTCTTCGGCGAGAAGCTCCTCCTGCCTCCATCTCGAGACGTGGAACAGCCATTAGTGCGTGGCTGTGCGTCACCGCGTGGGAGGGGGGAGTGGCGGGGTAGTGGCTTGCGCTGCTGCACTACGGAGCCGGTGACCTGAGTTTGATTCCCGCTCACGGCCAACACCGCCAGTGACGACTATCTGAACCGGTCCCGGGCCCCCTTTAGGTCAACTCGGCCTCAAATGAGAACCTGGTGCGGTGTGTAAACCATCGCCACTGGGGTTGAGGATAGTGTCCACGCATGGTGCTGGCCAGCCACCCACGTGTGTGCCGTGCCGGCCTTCATAGTTACTGTCTAACAGCACTTGCCCCAACAGTTTGTTAAGGCTAAAGTGGGTGAGTGAGATGGTGAGATGGTGAGTGGGTGGGTGAGTAAGAGGAGGGGAGAATGTGAGTAAGCAGGTGCGTGTGTGAATTGGTGGGTGAGTAAATGGGTGAGTGAGATGGTGGGTGAGTTAGTGGGTGAGTGAGTGAGATTGTGTGTGAGATGTTGAGTGGGTAAGTGAGTGAGAGGGTGAGTGAGGAGGTAGGTGTGTGAGTGAGTGCATGGGTGAGTGAGGGAGGTAGTGGGTGAGTGAGATGGTGGTGAGTGAGCAGGTGAGTGAGTGTGGGGGTGAGTGAGGTGGTTAGTGAGATGGTGGGTGAGTGGGTGAGTGAGGTGGTTAGTGAGATGGTTGGTGAGTGGGTGCGTGAGGTGGTTAGTGAGATGGTGGGTGAGTGGGTGAGTCAGATGGTGGGCAGGTGAATAAGATTTTAGGTCAGTGAATGGGTGATTGAGATGGTTAGTGAGTGGGTGAGATGGATAATGAAATGGTAGGTGGGTGAGTGATTAGTGAGTGCGTGAGTGAGGAGGTGGGTGGTCATTGGGTGATTTATTGGGGGAAAGAGAGGGTGATTGAGATGGTGAGCGAGTGGGTGATTGCGTGGGTGAGATGGTGAGTGAGTGGGTGAGTCAGTGGGTGAGAGGGTGAGTGAGATCGTGGGTGAGTGAATGGCTGAGTGACATTGTGAGAGAGATGTTGGGTGAGTGGGTGAGTGAGTGAGTGAGTTGGTGGGTGACATGGTGAGTGAGTGGGCAAGTGAATAGGTTAGTGAGTAAGTGGGTGAGTGCGTGAGTGAAATGGTGAGTGAGCGAGTGGGCTAGCGAATAGGTGAGTCAGATGGGCAGTGAGTGGGTGGGGGAGTGAGCGGGTGGACGAGTGAGTGGGTGAGTGGGTGAGTGGCTGGGCGAGTGGGTGGGCGAGCGGGTGGGTGAGTGGGTGAGTGAGTGGGTGAGCGGGTGGGTGAGCAGGTGAGTGAGCAGGTGAGTGAGTGGGTGGGTGAGTGGGTGAGTAGGTGAGTGGGTGGGTGAGTGAGTGGGCGAGCGAGCGAATACGTGAGTCAGATGGGGATTGAGAGGGTGGGGGAGTAAGCGGGTGGGTGAGTGAGTGGGTGAGTGAGTGCGTGGGTGAGCGAGTGGGTGAGTGAGTGGGTGAATAAGTGAGTGAGTGGGTGGGTGAGTGGGTGGGTGAGCGGGAGGGTGAGTGGGTGAGTGAGTGCGTGGGTGGGTGAGTGAGTGAGTGGCTGAGTGAGTGGGTGAGTGAGTGAGTGGGTGAGTGGGTGAGTGAGTGAGTGGGTGAGTGGGTGGGTGAGTGAGATGGACCGCTCCCCCCACACACCACCCCCAAAACAAGGAAGAGAAACATTCTTGGTTCTTTCGGTAAAGTCACGTAGACAAAAAATAAAATGAAAAAATATATAAATAAAAGTAATAAAATTTAAAATATCAATAAAAGTAATATCATCTAATTTAAATAACAAAATAAAAATAATAAAATGTAATTAAAACAAAAAAATACAAGTTATAGTATAAAATAAAAAAATAAAATAAAGTTTAAATAAAAAAATAATTAAACATAAAAGTTATATTATACATTTTAGATAAATAAATTAAAATAAATTTAAAATAAAAGCAAAACACACGACTCTGATGAAGGCCGCTTCTGTTGCTTTCATTTTCATTTTTTTTTAGTTTGTATTTAATAAAAAAATGTTTCAATTAAATTTAAAAATGTTCATTTCATTTATTTTATTTAAAAAAAAAAATTCCTACCTCAGTGACTTTTCTTCCGAAAGAGCCGAAGAAGAATGAAGTCCCCCGCAGGCCACCAAAGTGTCAAGCCTAAGAGACGAGAATCTCACCACCAACTCTCCTGCCGCTTCTCTGCGCTTCCTCCACTCGCTCACGCCACCTGTCACGTGGCGCGTCGCGTGACACGGAGTGACGTCACGCCGCGGCGGGTGTCGTCACGCGAGCGGAAGTCGGCCACGTGACCGCCGCTGGCCCCGCCCACTTGGAGGGGCGGGGCAAGGTGACGTCATGGAGGAGGTTGGGCGAGCCGCGGGGCGAGGGGGGAGGGGCGAAGTCGACACAGTCACTCAGTCACTCAGCCAGTCATAGTCACTCAGAGTCACTCATAGTCACTCACACAGTCACTCACACAGTCAATTACACAGTCACTCAGTCACTCACAGTCACTCTCACAGTCATTCACACAGTCACGCAGAGTCACTCAGTCACTCAGTCAATTACAGTCACTCAGTCAATTACAGTCACTCACAGTCACACAGTCAATTACAGTTACTCACAGTCACTCACACAGTCACACATAGTCACTCACACAGTCACTCATAGTCACTCATAGTCACTTAGTCACTCACACAGTCAATTACAGTCACTCATAGTCACTCAGAGTCACTCAGTCACTCACAGTCACTCACACAGTCAATTAGTTACTCACACAGTCACTCATAGTCACTCAGAGTCACTCACACAATCACTCACAGTTACTCAGAGTCACTCGCAGTCACTCAGAGCCACACATAGACACTCACACAGTCAATCACTCAGAGTCACTCAGAGTCAGTCACTCACACAGTCACTCACACAGTCACTCACACAGCCACTCACACAGCCACTCACACAGCCACTCACACAGCCACTCACACAGCCACTCATAGTCACTCATAGTCACTCAAACAGTCACTCATACAGTCCGTAGTTCCATTTATTTGGTATAGCCCTGTGAGCCATTCGGCTCTTGAATCGGGTGCAACCGCAACAAACAAAAAACAAAAACATAAACAAGAAAACATCTTAAAGTGACTGTGTGTGACTGTGCAAACAGAAAATGCAGGAAAAAAAAAACAAAATATTCCTGAAATAGCACCGTACACCAACGCTGTGTGCAAAAATCCCAGTGGAAGCAAGTCAAACAACAACAACAACAACCACCACAAGACAACTAAGATTAAGGCCATCAGTCGAACTCCGTACTACAATAAACAAAAACATGGCCAAACCAAAAAAAACTTTTCGAAATCACCAAAATAAAAGCCATAAATGCAATGTAACAGTGATCATAGGGACTGTGACCGAATTTTTAACAATAAACTACATAAATAAATTATAACACCAAACCCTAGAGCCATATTTTAGGCCACTGAATAGCAGTGGCAGCTAGGGGTGTACAACTCCTCTAGAGCAGTTTTGAGTGAAGATCTCATAGGTAGTGATTCAAGTTGCAGTTTATTGGCAATAGTATTCCAGACCCTGGGGGTATCAATAGCAAAGGCCCTTCCTCCGGTTTTTGTACGGCAATAGGGAATGTGAAGCTGGTAAATGAGCGAAGACCTGAGGTCAATTGTTTTCTTTGAAACAGAGAGGTTATCCAGTAGGTAGTCTGCGTATTTTTTTGCAGTACATCGTGAATAAATAAGATCTGGTGCACAAGCCGTCGAACATTAAGATATGTTAAGTTTG